AGTGTGGTCGTCTGGTAGCTTAGAGAGTTGAGTGCTGGATCTCTTCTCGATTCGGCTCTCCGTGTCGTAAGTTCGACTCTTGACTTTTGGGGGATATTTTTTATTTTTTTATTTTTTACTACCCCAACTAATTTAGACTAGCCAGGAATGTTCGGCTTGTGAATATAAACTGCCCTGCAAAGCCAGGTCGCTGTGGGATGAATAGTTTTCGAGAAATCGGTGTTCTACGAATTTGCCCTTAGGACCCTACTTTGAATCGAAATAAAACTGGTGTGCCTGTGCGTGAGGTGATCGCCTACTTTAAAATCCGTTCAGTTTTACTAGAAGAATCTACTGCCGAAATATGGACGCTGTAGCTCCAATGGGTCCAGAGCTAGAGCCGATTTACGTTGAAATTTCTGTCACGGAGCGGCCGAATGGGGGCACTTCTGTCTCCCCGGGCCGGAGGCACGCGCACCTGGGTCTGCAAAGCCATGCGTCATATATTGGTGTCTGATGGCGCTTTTGGTGTGTGGTCTATTGGCTCAGGAAGTTGCGTGCTGGATCGCTGCTCGTTTCGGCTGTCCGTGTCATGGGTTCGATCCTTGGATTTTGGGGGTATTTTTTATTGTTTTTATTTTTTACCCCAGGGTCCAGTTGTTGATGAGATCGCCTGGTAGGAATTCGGGCCCGCCGAGCAGCACTCGCCCTTACGCTCGCGACCGGTGCCTAGTAATGAGTGGGTGATCCTTTGGACGAGTTGTGGCTGATGACCCAGTTGTGGCTGAGGGTGCTGGGTAGGTAGGCACGCCCACCGAGCAGCCTTTCGAGATGGCCTCGTATGCCTTGGCTCGTTTGTAATGTGTGGTTCACTTTCGGGCGAGGTGTGGGGCCCAGTTGTGGCTGAGGGCGCCTGGAGGGTAGGCAATCCTTATAAAAGATGTCCTTCATGTGGGTCCCATTCCCATTGTGTTGGTTTATATGCATCCGGGGCCTTCCGGGTTGTTAGGGACTATGTGCCTAACATGTCCTTGCCTTCTGCTTACATCCCGAAGGCTTTGGATTTCGTATTACCCGAAATGAGGTGTTCTATAGGCGGGTCGGATTGAGCTGACTCTGGCCGCCGGGTTTGTGGCCACAATTTTGTGGCCACAAATAGGGACGTTCAGTTCCCGTGGGGTCGGGCGATGGGGGTGGTGCACGAGCCCCCACCCCGTCGGCGAGCTCGTCACAAAACTCGTCGTACACAAGAGTCCCGGCAGGGTCTCCGACGCGCTCCTTAATCTCCCTCTTGGTGAGGGTGGAGAGCACGGCCCCGCTCGGACACCGCAGCCACTGGAAGACTTCGTCTGGCGTCGGGCCCGGGAGGACGCGTCGGAGCCACTGCAGCACGTCGACCTGGCTCCAGTCCCGGGGATTGAGCGACTGCGACACGACGGCCTGGGTCAAGTCCTGTGTTTCCGGGTCCTGTCCTGTGTAACGAAACGTTATTTTGGCCCAAATGCTTTGAATGATGTAAAAGTTCAATCACGGGTATCGTCTTACTGCTGTAGCCGGGCGCCGATGTCGCGTCGCTCGGGGTGTTCTCGAGGCCGGTCGGGTGAACTCGAGGACCACCCTCGCCGAGATACACGCGTTCCAAGCGCCGCCTCATCCATGAGTCGCCTTCCACGGGAGCGAGGCCTGCTTCGGCATGGACTGTGAGTTCAAGGCTGCGTCCAGACAAATTGCGTCAGGAGGCGTGACGTGACGGGAGACAGTCGCACAATATATTTTGTAATTTGCCCATGGCATACACTAGGAAGTGTGTACATGTATGGCACACTGTTCTGAGTGTGTACGCGCCACGTTAGCGTAGCGCCAAGGCAAGTGCACACTTCCAAGACACAGTTGGGTTTACAGTGCATCCGTGCTCCTGCAAGTCGTCTCTTCCTTTGTATGTAGTACTAGGCACACTGTTTGGCTTGGTTTGCAGTGTGGTGGTTAAAAGAGGGAAAGTCCACCGAAGGCCAACAGAGACTTCACTGTTATTACTTACCTATTAGGTGGGGTCGATGTCGGGTGATCCCTCGTTGGTGTGGCCGGCCCCAGAGCCCTGTTACCGTGGATGGAGGTCCGGGTTTGAGGAGAGATAAGCAACTCTGGGTGATAGATGCCGGTGGCTACACTCTATATTTCGGATCGGTGGTTCACTTTAGGACGCGGCTTGTAGGTGGTCCGCCACGCAGGGCGGAGAGGTACGCTAGGCAATCGCGAACGTGTTTCCGGGTGATCCGTCGCGCAGGACGACGGGTGGTGGGTGGTGCGGAACTCCCGCCTGACTGCACGGCTGCGCCGTGCCTGCCTGACCCAAGGTGCTGATGGTGGTGCACCTTGGCACTAGGCTGGAAGCCGGCGTGGCCAACAGCCCCGCCTTCCTAGGACATCGTCTCCTTCTCCTGCTCCTGCTCGGCCGCGGCGGTGGTCGACACGCTCGGCGCTTAGACTGAGGTGGAGGCACTGTGGAGGGGCGCCGCAAGTAGGACGGCTACTGGGCGGACCGAATGCACGCCAATGTCGGTGTTGGTGTTACTGTTACGCCGCTTTTGCATCTGGCTGGCGGCCGGCAGCGCGGCGGCTGGGGTGGGACGCGGGGGCCCCTCCTCCATCGGACCCACCCCGCCGCCCGTCTCCCCCCTCCTCGGGCCAGCCTCGCGTCGCCAGCAGCCAATCGCGATTTGACTCACAAGGAGGAAAAAATTCGACCTTGGCAGCAGATGATACCGTGTATCAGTGAGACCACCAGATAACGAAGGAAGAGATCTACGGTCTCACCGCCACTCGGGCAAGGAGGAATCTGGAGTAAGTCTAAAAGCACCACGGCTGCCAGCGCAAGCCCTATCGGGATCGGGGCGGCCGCGATGCTTGTCGCATTTCTTTCACATTTCTTTCTTGTCCAAATACAGTTCAAATCGTCTATGTCGAAACTCCCGAAACGTCAGGGTGGAGCTTTTAATGTTATCAGCCTGCATTCATTGTTTGGAAATTACTGCACTGCACCGCAGGACTCACCCGCTGGAGCATCCGGCGGGAAAGACGACCAAAGACTCGTTGCGTCGCGGACCGACCGTGCCTTTTCGCCACACACGGGTCGTTGAAAAGAAACTAATTTCGACATGTCGATAGGTGCATCTTGGCTGCTTGGTCCCGAAAAGTACTTGGCCCGCGGCGATGAGAGACGCGGCGCGACGACGCCCCCAGAAAATTGGAAACTCTGCCAACTCAAATGTGTACATAGTACACATTAAATAAAGTGTACATGGCATGTATGCTTTGATTAATGTGTACATGCCTATGTACACATTTATAAATGTGTACATAGGCATGTACACATTAAAAGATGTGTACACGGCATGTATACTAACGGTTGTATGTACACTTTAAAAGATGTGTACATGGGCATGTACACATTTATAAATGTGTACATAGCCATGTACACATTAATTAAAGCATACATGCCATGTACACTTTCTTTAATGTGTACCATGTAAACATTTGAATTGATAGAGAAGTTGTAGGAACCATCTCATTGTTCTCTCAGGGATAACCATAAAATATGGTTGAGACAACGATCCGCCAGTGGTGAAAACCGTATTATTGGTTGATACGTCTGTGCTGTGCCGTCCCTCAACCATATTTTATGGTTGTCCCTGCAGTAACCATACGCTGGTTGCTACAACTTTCCATTTTTCGCGGACGCGAGCAGCCCGGGGGTGGGCCTGCGGCCCGAGCGCCATGCGCGTTCGGTTGCCTATCCGTCTGTTCGCGGGCGCTGTCCATGTCGTCGTCGCGCGTCCTCCGCTGTCACAGTACGTCGCGGATTTGACTCACCCCACCCCACC